GAATCTTTCTGCCAGTTCTAAGCATCCCCTGAGCCATCGGATGGATCAAATCATTGCGATTGTTTTCCAGCTTCGAAAACAATGGAATAAAACTGCCTTTTGCAGAAATGCCTTAAAATGACCATTCCAGTTATCTTTGCTCACGAGAAAATTCTTTTTAGAAGCGTGGCTGTGCTTTCGTTAATAGAACAGCGATCAATTGTTTACTCAAGGCAGGTGAGCATGGTTCCAAAATCGATGCAACAAACTACTCGCTTATGTTAACAGTGTTAGGTGTCCTCAAGGCACTTAAAGATTTTTGTTTTTGGTAATTGCTTATCTACAAAAGATCCGTAACGACGCTAGCAGGTGTTTAAAATTATGTAAAATAACAAATAATGGATGAAAGTATCCCTCAGCTCTCACGAATAGCTTAAAGAGAGAGAAGCGCGATTGACATTTAATTAACAGCTCGTCCATGTACCTTAGTTCCATGGTACACGTAGTTCGCTGCTTGTACCAGATCCTCATCATACTCCTTAGCCGTTGAGTTATTCAGTTCACAGTTGTGTGTTTCTGCTCCATTTTCTCCAAAATAAAAGTTAACACTGACGCAGTTATAGTCCAGGTAGCAACGATATTCGCACGTGTCCCTGTCAATCACACTGATGTTTGCTATGGCGTGGTTAATGAGACGTTCTCCCACGAAGAACAGAGTCGATGGAAAGGCTAATATACGGCATTGATCTAAAAATACAAATAATTTAAAGTTAAATGGCGACAGGGGTCATGAATTCTAAAGGTCTCAGTTGCTGTTAAACTCGCCTTCCAAGCGCTTGGTACTTATACTGATAGATAGATAGATACTTTATTACGCGCAGAATTTATAAAGCTAAGTCACTTATTTACACATATTCATTAAGATACCAGGATCAAATTAAAAGTATTCTTTTTTTTTTTTTGAGCCGAAAAGGTCTCTAGAAAAAGATTGTATGACCTCCACAAGCCAGATAAGTCTTTTCTTTCTTTTATTTTAACCCCTTTTTCCCCAGCTTACGTCAAACAAAGTATATTTCTCTTTGTTTTTCCTGGCAATTACTTTCTGCGGGACACCTGAAACAACTAGCTTCACAGTTGATAAAAATGATATCGAAAATTTCAAAGTGTACCTTGACGAGCCCAAACCCTGAAGATAATTCGTGCCCAGAAAACTTAATAACTTCAAGTGTTCAATGATGAAAGAGGAAAGAAATTTCAATCATGAACTCCCAACTTGTGCCCAAGATCTCAAATCACATTTTCCTCGCCTATCTTTAAAGTTACTATGATAACGCGCGCGTGCAAATCCTGCTTAACTTCTAATGAGCCACTCTGATGGACATCTCTACGCAGGCATGGCCGTGTATACATAACACGACGTGTGCAGTTCACTTCAGTTGGTAAGTTCCCGTCTAGCTTAGCCGAGCTCTCTTTCTCCGATTGAGGTACACTGTACATATTTCGAAGCTCAATAAAAGTAGATATTTGCATAAAAAACAATGATTTTTAAGCTCTGTGAATAGACGAAAATAGCTTTGGAGTTGACAATATGTTATCCCTAAACGCAGGACGATTTATGGCCGTAGCAAGAAATCTGAGCTTTCTTACCCTTCTTTAAAATAGTACGAAATATTTGAGTGTTGTTGAATCGATTACTTGTCTTAAAAGCTTACAATTTTCAACACAAACAAATTCTCGTCGTAAATTCTAGCAAAAACTTATTAAAGCATGCTAAATGCATTTCGCAGGTGTTGTAACTGCGGGAAATTCGTTCGGTTTTCGCTTCCAAGCAGAAAATTTAGCACTTCCTTGTGAAAAGTTTTGGTCTTGGAATATCTCTTGGC